ACCACCCACCCCAGAAATGGATGCTTACTAATTTATTTACCCCCTCCTCATCACCCTTGCAGATGCCGGGCACCCGGCAACCCCTCCCTCTTATTAGGAGAGCCTTCCCAAAGCGGAAGATAGCATATTGCCCTCCAGGGCTTAGATTCATAGTTAGGAAACTGCCTTGTATTCTATATTTCTCTAACTGATACAGGTGATGAATTGGGTACTGTTGACTGAGCTTGAAATTGTCTGGGAATAATTATTCAAATCAATATCATGCATGCCGATGAACGACGAAAAGGATTGAGCCCACCAGCAGCAGTCGAGGCAACGGCGATTCGTCCCGATCTCGAAGTGAAGCTTTTCTTGGGTCTTAACTGTCAGTACCGCGATTCACTTTTCTCGGTTCGTTTGCTTGTCCCTGGTGCATGACAGCGCATCATCAACATTGTCCACCAGTCCTGCAAAATTTGGGTGGATCAAATAACTTGTCCCTGAGGGTGAACAATGTAGGCTGCATGGTGAGAGTACCTGGGGAAGGAGCAGTCTGGTTCAAACTATGGGTAAGATTTCCCCTCTGTGCCGAGGGTAGATATGCGATTTGGTATCTCCTTGAAGATTTCCAGCCACCGAGTTGATCTCTGCATACCGAGCAACTGGGGCTCTGTTGTTGGACAGGAGGTCCTGATGTATGTTGGTGTCAACACCAGCCTTCACCGTCCTAGAATTGGTTCTTTGCGTTTGTCTGAATGGCAGCTGGACTGTCAAAGCTCTTGGTCGTGATGAGATTGGCTTCACTGGAGAGAGGGTGGTTCGGTCTGAAGAGGATAATTTCATGGATGTAGTCGATTTTTGGGTTAGATGTCTGAGGAATGGTGGAACGACTGATTCATGCTGAGTACCAGGCCACCCAGCTGGAGAACGTGGCCACAAAGGACCTGTACAGTGTCAAGAGCCAAGTTTCGGTGAAATACCGAAATACAGAAGATCTTCTGGACACCATCTTGACAGGAGATGCACATATCCTCAAGCTTGATAGAAGAGGGGCAAAAGAAGTTCCGCATGCTTGAAGCAGGTTCAAACCTATCCAGGAAAAACATGCTAAGTAAGTAGCCCACAAACAAAACACACACCAAAAGACAAAAACTCACCGCATGCGCTTGAACGCAATAGTGGCTCAGCTCAAATTTGAACAATGAAGTTTCCTTGGGTCTTAGGTGTTGGTTCCTGACAATGCCTTCGTTCCTTTGACTTTCCGATTATTTGTCATCGATGTCTGCTGGTACCGGAATTTATGGCCATTTTTTAGTAATATTTCTCCGAGGCTGAGCAATATAGACACTTACATTTTGCGACCTCTCAGGGGCCGAACACGAAGTCCCAAAAATATTGTGCAAGAGTTCGCCTCGGGCCATCAAGCCACTTGCTGGGATGACCAATATTGAGGCCTCACCTCCAAGGTTGCAAGTATAAAATGCAGATAATTTGCATGCCTTTGGGCCCTCTATCCCTGGTGTCCGCCTCTCAAGCGATTGGTTTGAGAGACTGACACACGAGGGTATCCTGCAAAGATGGATAGCTTTGCATGGTTGACCTGGAAAATAGACAAAAGGTAAGCCTGAGAATGCGTGAATGAATCAAAGAGTACATACTCACCCAAATTGTTCAGAAAGTCATCTTAGGTCATCGAGGCATCGCAAACCTGGCAGTTTTGGTCATGTGGGGCATGGCCAAATTGAAACCCCATCTCCCCAACATTGACAGCACAAAGCCAACAAGGACGATGACAGGTTTGAATCAGATGCTGCACTCGACCTCAAAGTATTATTTCTCCCTTAGAGACCTCAATTCGTCATATCGCCTGCAAACACCACCCGGAAGTGCAGCTCTGAGCGGACTACACTCGACTTGGCTTGTTGGGATTGGCTGTGAGGATGTAGGGCTAGAACGAAGGCAGAGACACTGAAGGTGCATTTGTATGTTGCATGCATTGTCATTCACATCTCTTTCCGCAGAGCGGACTCTCCAGGACTCAATGCTAGGCTCGCAGCCTGTCGCTCGGAGCAAACCAGAATCTGCCCTCAGGTCAAATCCCTTTCACTGATCTGCTTGCTCGATGACAACTCAAGAAGTTCTGCTTTGTATGCTCCAAGTCTGTTATGCGCAGCTGTCAGCATCGCTCTGAAGTTGATGAAGTTCTATCTCACCTCTTAGCAGGAAGGGATGCACATCAACTTCTTGGTTTCAAGGCATGCCTGGCACAAACTAGGCTCGCAGCGCGCTCTCTCTGCCAGCTTCTCCATTCTTGTGTCTCTCACCATGCTTCATTTCTTGTCCAGAAAGCTGCAGTCTGGGACTTGGCTTGTCATTTTTGTGTTTTCTCAAAGAGAAGAGGTTTTTGGCCTTACCATGGTTCGTGGAACAGATGGGCCCGAATTGAAAGCCAATTTTCATGCAGCGCCTTCTCTGGGGAAAGGGGATAGATGACATTCTCATCCCAAGAAGCTGTAGCATGTAGCCTGTGTAAATCTGTCAGTGATCGTCTTTGCACTTGAAGAATTCCATGAGCCTTTGATAGAAAGGGGAATTCTTCACGTCGTTGACCTCGACTCTCCTCTTCTGCTCACATGAAGACTCTCTTCTCTGCCACTTGCCACCCCTTCCTCATGATTTAAGACCCTCTTGACAAGCAGACGTTCACCGGAGACTGGATATCTTGGTTCGTCTTCATTCAGAGGGCATGGGAGGGGTTTTCCTTGGGCCACCATATCGGTGCACAGTGCGGCTTCCCTTGTGAGGTTTCAAGTACAACTGTATCCTGCTAGTGGACTGTTCTGTCCCACATGGACTGGAGGTGGTCATGCTGGTCAGAGGCCAGTTAGTCAGCACTGTCATCTTCAGGAGGAGCACAGAGAGACAGGTGACTGTTTGAGTGCGTGATTGTCAATAGCCAAGGGAGTGTAACTGTCTGCCCTGTGGTCTGCCCTCCTGTTGGCTGCTCGCCTTTGATGGATGTGTGTTCTTCTCTGTCTGCAGTGAACGGCAGTGGCATGGGGGACCTGCCACACGAATTCTGTCAGATAGATATTCGAGAGGCTTAGTGCAGACTTGGACTCCTTTACCTGGCACGTAGTTCAACTTCCTTGTCCAGGTTGGTCTGATGCTTGGCGTCTAAGTACCTGGGGCTACAGTGGACAAGTATGGCTGATCCACTGCTTCTGTGATGTGCTGGTAGCCAGCAAATGTGGCATCTCCTGGGAGCATGCAGAATGTGTTCGATTTCTGGGTATCTGGGACGAGGTCGCGGTGTTGAGAGAACGAGGTTGTGGTTAAGTGAGTGGCTAGGGTGGACGAAGCTAAGCGATGTGCAATCATGTGATCTCAAACTTGTTGCTTTCACTTTCCAGATACTCCCCTGCATCCAAGTTTCGATTCCCTAGGCTCTCCTACCTCTAAACATGCCTTCCCCCTTCAATGCCATGTTGAGCAACACAGAACTCAGAGTATGTGTTCAATGGTACAATCTGCTATTCAAATCTGATCTGGGTTGACAGTCTGCTGTCGAGGAAGAAGTCCCCCGTGTCGTGCTAACCCTCCCTGAGGAGTTGATAACTGTGTATGTATTCCTTTATACTGGGTTACTTCCAGAGGTGTTTGGTAGATGCTCACTTGCTGGTCTCGACGTAGTTGAATACCAGGCGCTTCACCCTCTAGGTGCCCTCACACAGGCCACAGCAACAGCCATGTCTGCTAGAAATCTATATCAGACACTGTATTTTTACAAGGTATGCTTATATGTCAGGACTGTGATTCTACAGTCCACCTATGGAGAGGGCCTTGCCGGGTGTGCCAGGGCTTGCACCTGTGGGCGGGGCCTGTCAACACAAGCAAACAATGCAGGAAACAATGCCCAAGCATTGTTTCCTCGTCGTTTTCAGCGTGCCTGCCACCATTTTTGATGGGGAAAAGCGCCAATGATGAGGAAAACATATTTCCTCATCATTGTGCACTGTTTCCCCCATTGTCGGGGGGCGGGAATGGATGGATTGGGCCAGGTGGGTTTGGATGATGTGGCCCTTTTGGCAGGGCCTGTAATTATGCTGTAATTACTATGACAAACCTGTTGTAATGGTCTCGCCGCCGTCTGCGACGACATCCGGCTAGCTCGGGGTACACCAGAAAAATAGCAAAAAATTGTTTTAAATTGAAATAAAATACATACATGATGTGGGTGGCTCTTACCAGCCACCAACTATGAAATAAGACAAAAAGAAGTAGAAACAACACGTCGTTTCTACTCTGGTCCTGCTCCATGCCCTTTTGCAGCAAAAATTGCAAAAAAAAATTGTATTATATTGTAATAAAATAAATACATGCTGCAGGTGGCTCTACTAGCCACCTGCTATGAAATAAAGATCAAACGAGCAGAAACGGCACATCATATGCACCGTTTCTGCTCAGGGGGACAGGTGGTCCCCCTCCACCCCCTCCTCTACTCAGCGGGGTACCCTCTGCTCCTCCAGTGCTTGTTGGGGGCCCGCTCTACCCCTCTGCCCCCTCCGTGCTCTCCATCCAGTTCTCATGGGGCTCGATGCGTCCGATCTGCACCATGGGTTCCTCCTCCACCCCTCTGCCCCTCCTCTGCTCGTTCGGCCCATTCGCTGCTCATTCTGCCCGTTCGTCGCTTGTTGATCCTCTTTGGGTGCTCATGGAGGCTCTTTGGGTGCTCATCCTCCACCCTCCTGGTGCTCTTCCTCCTGCATGAGCTGCTGGTAGTGGGTGCTGAGCAGGAGGCAAAGGGTGGGGGTGAAGGGCAAGAGGCAGGGGCAAAGGTTGAGGGACAAAGGGCAAGGCAGTAAGGAGGCAGGCGGCAGGCGGTGAGACAGCAGTAGGGCAAGACAGCAAAAATGGGCAAATGTGTGAGAGGGCGAGTGGGTGAGTGGGCGAGGAGGAATGGGCGGATGGGCGAATGGGCGAGCAGGAAAATGGGTGAGAGGCGGACGAGGCAGGCGAGAGGGTGAATGGGCGAGAGGGAGAGGCAGGCAAGAGGGCGAATGGGCGAGAGGCGGATGAGGTGGGCGGGAGAGGACAGGGGAGCAAATGAGGGGCGAGGGCAGGGGTGAAGGGGTGAAGGGTGCCCCCACTGCCCTGCCCCCGTTGTTGTCATGCCCCCCATTGTTGTCGTTGTTGTTCCCTCCATTGTTGTTGTTGTTGTTCCCCCCATCGTTGTTGTTGTTGTGCCCCCTTCATCGCTGTCCTGTGCCTGCTGTCGCCTTCTGCTGGTCCTGCCACCCCTGTTTGTACCCACCATCGTTCGCTGTCCTTGTCCATTGCCGTCGTCCTTGTTTGCTGTCATCCTTGTTTGCCGCCATTGTCTTTGTTTGCCATCGTTCTTGTTCATTGCCATCCTTGTTTGTTGTCAGTTTCCCTTGCAGTCGGCGCAGGCTTCCCTCTTTGTGTTGGCAAGGGGAGGTAAGGAGGTTGAGGGGGAAGGAGGGTGGAAGAGGTGAGAGGGGCGCGATAGGCGAGCCGAGTGGGGGTTTCATGCCTTTGCCCACATCCCTATTGAAGGGGAGGGGCACAAAAGGCAAAGAAAACAAACATCAACTTTAAAGTCAATGTTCATTGACCTAGAGTTAGTTTAAACATCAATTAGAGTACATATTTATGAAGAAATTACATTACTTACCTTGTTTTGATGCTTTGAGGTCACTTCTATCAGCTACAAAAATATATCAAACACTGCCTTTAAGCAGTGCGACGGGATCAGTCCTGGCTGTCATAAAGCAGTCAGCCTAAGAGAGAGGTCATGCCAGGTGTGCCGGTCTCTGAGAATGGGGGCGGGGGCATCAATACATGTCACTTCTATCAGCTACGAAAATGTATCAGATACTGTATTTTAACAAGGTATGCTTATATGTCAGGACTGTGATTTTACAGTCCACCTATGAAGAGGCTGGTGGGTGGCTTTGCCGTGTGTGCCGGGGCTCGCAGCTGCGGGCGGGACCTGTCAATACATGCAAACAACGCAGGAAACAGTGCCCGAACACTGTTCCTCGTTGTTTGGGGTACTCCCGCCCTTGTTTTCGACAGGGAAAGGGTGCCAACGGCAAGGAAACATATTTCCTCGCCGTTCTGCACCATTTCCCCACTGTTGGAGGGGCGGGATAGGCTGGATTAGGAGGGGGTAGTTTGGATGACGCGGCGCTTTTAGGCGCGTCGGTTATTTTTAGATACCCAGCCTAAAGCTCCCAAGCGTTCTTGTAATAGATGCTCGCTGTTGTCTATTGCGACATCCGGCTAGCTCGGGCACATCCAAACCACACAAAAAACCACAAAAGAAAATATATTAAATTATCACAAAATAGATACAGGGCACAGGTGGCTCTACTAGCCACCTGTGAGGTAGGGACAAAACAAGCAGAAATGGCATGCGCCGTTTCTGCTCGCCGTTTCTGCTTGGGGGACCACTTGCCTTGTGGTGGGTCGTGCTCACCTTCGCTCCAGTGGTGCTCGTCTTCATGCTATAGCGGTCACGCTTGCCCTCGCCTCCTGCTGCTCGTGCTCGCCTTCAACTTGTGGTGGGTCATACCTGCCTTCACGCCGCGCTGGTCTTGCCTAGGCTCGTGCCATTGTCCTCATGGCGTGGTAGTCGTGCTCGTCAGGCTGTCATTGTCCCTCACGCATAGTTGCCCTCATCGCCCTCGTACCATCACCCTTCTCGTGTCATCGTCGCCCTTGTGCTATGTGGGTCCTGCTCGGGCTTGCACTATGGTCGTCCTCGTGGTGTCCTGGTCCTCGGCCTCGTACTACGGTCACCCTCGTGCCGTGGTCATCCTCATGCCCAGGTCATCCTGCCAGTCAGTGGGGTTTCATGGATGGTGTAGCTCCGAAGGCAACAGGTAGAGGGTGGGGGAGAGATGAGGGGTGAGGAAGGGAGGGATGAGGTGATGAGGGGGTATGTGAGCACGAGAGGGCGAGGGCGTGTGCATGTGCAATGTGAATGGGGTGGAGAGGCCGGCATGGGTAGAGGGAGCAATGGGAAGGGCGAGGGTGATGGAGAGCAACGGGGGTGGTGAGCGAATGACGGTCTTTGTCTGTCCGTTCGTCCGATGGTTCGGTCGTTTGTTTGTTCGCTGCCTGCTTGCTACTGGCATTCGGTCATCTGTTCATTCGCCGCTGCCGCCGCCGTTGTGGTCACTGGGTTCGTGGTGTCACCCGTGTGTGCTCCTCCAGCACCCCTGCTCATGCACCCTTGTCCTCTTTCATCCGTGCCCTTGCCCCCCCTTGCTCGTCCTCGGTTGACTTGTTCCAGCGTTTGGCGTTCGCGTGTCGTTCGACTCAAAACACCACCCCATCCGACCGTTACACGACATCTTTGATATGCCGTGGCTCCGAGGATGGGGGAGGTTAGAGGAGGAGAAGGGAGGACGAAGGGAGGCGGCGGTGAGCGTTGGTGGTGCCAGGACAAAGGGCAATACCCACATCCCTCTTGAGGGGGAGGGTGAGGGGAGGGCGAGGGGCGAGGGGCGAGGGGCGGAAGAGCTGGAGAAGGTCGAGCGGGTCGAGAGGTGGTCAGAGGTGTCGGTTCGAGGGGCCGAGGGTCAGCGAATCAGGGTGTTGATGCCAGAGGTTGTTGGCAGTCAGCGGGTAGAGGAAGGGTGAAGGTGGGGCGAGCAGTG